TGTATTGCATTAGGCAAATCTGCTGCACAAGACGTCTTTAAAGTGTTGAAGAGCAAAGATGTCAGTTTGAGGACGAAGGTGTGCCTGACCCAAGCCATGGGTATGTTCAATAACCTCATATGCATGTGAAAGTTGGATAGTGAATAAGGAAGACCCTAGAAGAATTGATGCATCTGAGTTATGGTGTTGGAGGAGAATATTGAAAATACTATGGACTGCCAGAAGAACAAACAGATCTATGTTGGAAGAAGTACAGCCAGAGTGCTCCTTGGAACCCAGGATAGCCAGACTTCATCTCTCATACTTCAGACATATTACCAGGAGAAACCAGTCCCTGGAGAAGAATATCATGTTTGGTAAAGTGGAGGGTAGGATAAAAAGAGGAAGATCCCCAACGAGATGGATTGTCACTGTGGCAGCAATGATGGGCTCACATGTATCAACAGTTGTGAGGCTGGCCCAGGACAGGGAAGTGTTTTGTTCTGTTGTGCATAGGGTCGCTATGTGTCAGTATCAACTCAATGGCATCTAACTACTACTACTTCTACTACTACTGGCATGTTGTTGTTGTTGTTATGTGCCATGGAGTCAGTTCCGACTCATAGCAACCCCGTACAGGGTTTCCGAGGCTATAAACCTTTACGGGAGCAGAACACCTCATCTTTCTCCCGCAGAACAGCTGGTAGTTTCGAACTGCTGACCTTGCGGTTCACAGCCCGAATCGTAACCACTACGCTACCAGAGCTCCTTTATTATTGGCATAGAAGTTAGGATTTACTACATTACTATAATTTGAGGCACACAATTTAATCCATAATATAGAGTTTTAGTCTTCCATATGATCTTATTATTTAGGGTCAATCCCTGATTTAAAGTAAATGGTTAAGCCAAATAAAAACACTCAAGAATGATTCATACTTTTATTCCCAATTCTTAGTATCATTGGAATCTGCTGGATTAAAAGATACTTTTCTGATGCACAGGGATTAAGTACTAAAGCTCTCTTTCTCCTCACACATACATAGCACAATCTGCATGAAATGACTTGGACACTTTCTTTTTCTCAATTCTCAGAGTACTTGAATTTCTCAATCTCCTTTCTAAGAACTAAGGCATAGATTTCTCATTAAAAAGGTACGACGAAGAACAGAGGCTGGAGAAACCCAGCATTTAAAATGCAAAATCGCAGGTTCCAAATTCATGAATTAGGAGGGTTTCAAATGAACAGTTCAACTCTCTGGGCTTTATACATTTCATTCGTAGAATCATGAATGAAATCAAAGGGTGATGAAATAAGATTTATGAAGAAAAGTTAAAGTAACCATATCATTCATGTATTCGTTCAATGAACATGTACTGAATACATTTTACTGCACTAGGCACGGTGCCAGGCACCATAATTCTCCAAATGGAAGGATAAAAGGTTGAGAGATTACTATATAGTATTATTAATAAAAGTAGCCACAGTAGGTAAGTTATATTATGATCAATTGGCAATGGCCATGTCAAAACTAGGCAAGACTGGTTAAAAATGCCTACTATGGATAATGGATAGGGGACCAGCAATACCTAATGCTTATTTGTCATTACTGGCTCATATTATCATAAACCTGCCCCCTCCCCCTACAACAAAAAACACTCCCACTGAGTCAACCCCAACTCACAGCGACTCTGTTTAGACTGCAAATCTTCACTGGGCAGAAAGCCCCCACTTTCTCCCATGGAGCCACTGGTGGGTTTGAACTTCTGACCCTGTGGTTAGGTTAGCAGTCCAGTGCTTACCCACCAGGCCCACAACGTACACTAAATTCTCAATAGTTGTACAAATTCCCAACAGTCAGCAAAAATAATGCTACCCCCACCGCCACCCCCCCCCACCCCCCCCCACTAACAGACGGATTGACACAGTGGCAGCAATAATGGGCTCTAGCGTAACACACTGTGAGGATCGCACAGGGCTGGGCAGTGTTATGTTCTGTTAACACAGGGTCACTACAAGGAAGCGACTCCAAGGCACCTAACAACAACATCCTGTTCTAAAGCACCTTTCTAAACATCTGTACATACATTAACTTATGTTGTGCTCATAAAATTTCACAGCCAGGTAGGTCAAGCATTAATTTCACTTTGTTGAAAACTGAGGCACAAAGACTTATGCGTGAGTGGCCTACGACCACACAACTAGTTAATGAATTAATGGCAAAAACTCTGTTACGCCCAGATTCCCTCATTCCTGAATGATTGTCCCTTGATCTTTATTGTTAGAGCTGTTATGAACAGCATGGTATCCAGAAAGTCTCTGAATCTACTGAGGAAAAAAGAAGAGGAACCGGCTGGTATTGAAATGTTACACCTAAGAAAAATTTTGCTAGGTTTCATTCTTACAAACTTAAAACAGTTTTTAAGTATCTTTTTTTCTGGGGGGGAAAAAGAATTAATTACCCATAAAGTTTTTCAAGAGGGACGATGGTAATATAGAAGGAATCTGAGTTCAAATGTCTCCTCAATTTACCAGCTGGGTGACCTTAGGCCAGTTACCTAACTTCTCTGGTCTGCTCTAAACAGGAGATAACAACATGAAAACACAGAACTAGTATAACACAACAGCACCAGAACATGTTACACTGTTACACAAAGTGGGTCCTCAATAAACATTAGTCTTCTTCTAGCCCCTTTAATTAACAAAAAATGTCTTTATAAACTGAAGTGAGGGGAAACAATTGCTTAAAATACCTAACGAAGGTTCCTATTCCCTACTAAAGTGAAAGTCTTACTGAGAAGGCAAAGCTTTGCCCCCTCTCCATCCTCCATGGTCGGGAACACAATGCTCTGCGCAGACTAGGGACTCAGTCAACACCTTATTTAAAAATAAACAGAGTAACAAAACAAACAAAAATGCTGTACTGGAATCTGGCAGGACTCACTATATAAGGTAATAGCTAATATTACCCAATTAAAATGACAGGAGCTAACACTTATCACTTACTTACCACAGGCCTACAAAAACAAGGAGGACAGAGTTCCTAAGGTTTCTGAAGATGGACAATGATCTTTCAGAGATTATCTCACTTGCTTTCCATCTATGAATAGGGAAACAGGAGCATAGATAGTGTTAAGTAATTTGTTCCAAATCACATAACCAGTAAATGGTGGAGCTAAGATCTGGACCCAGGCAATCTGACTATAACACTATGTTGTACTGCTCCCACCCTCCCTCCAACAGAAGAAAGTCTTTGGAACGAAAATATTTATTCTGCTTAATACCTAGCATGAAAAGAATCTTAAAGTGGGAAGCAATGGGCTCCATGTAGGCAAGTATGAAACTATCTGCTCAATATAGAAAGCCAGGAAGAGATACACCAGGAATGTTTCCATAGGCATTCTCCCAGATATGAAGAATGGCCAAGAAGACTGGGTTCTGAAGATAAACAATGGAGGAGTCCTTCAGAATCTGCACAGCCTCAGCATCAGGCATAGGAAGAACTTATGACAGTGGGTCCCTATTCACAAACAAAAGTCTTCTTTCAAAAAGTCAGGAAGAGAATACCCCCTTATCCAACAGTTTCATGTTAAATGACAGCACTGAAATGCCCTTTGTATAACTGGTTAAAGCACATACTACAAGTAGAGCAACTGTTGATGTCCTACAGAGAAACAGAAGGGAATACTCGTGATACTCCCACAAAACAGTTGCTACAGTATCTGCAGATACACAGGTGGTATTACTCCCATAGCGAACCATGACGCAGCTCAAAAGGAGTCACCTCTCCTTTTACAGATACTGCTGTCATCTACCCTCTGCTGATCTTTGGAGATAACTGTGGTTATCATAGAGAAATTATTTTCCTCAGAGGTAATCAATTAATAACAGGTGAAGGACATGGCGCATTCTCCTATAAACAGTTCAGTCTATAAAAACCAGAGCATCCTCTCCTGATTCTATAGTCTGTCGGCTCTTTACAGATGCTCCTCAGTAAGCAATGCATTAGAACAAGCACCACTGCCTCAATAATCATTAAGGTTCAAAAATTAGTCGGATTCAACTCTGAAACTCCAGCAGCTGCCATGACACACTCTGCCACTGGTTATCTGGCCAGTGCAGCTGAGAGTCCGTATGCTGCCTGCTATCACCAAAGCAAAGTGGACAGGAAGTATTAATGGCCTTATTAGACGGGCAATAAACAAGGAGTCTGAAACTTCAATTCGTTTAATGGAAAAATGAAGTTACTTTTCGGTAAGTGGAAATTTCAGATTAAATTGCCTTCACAGATTCCACAGATCATGGGCTAAGGCAATGAGACTGTCTAAAGCCTGAAGCTTGATAAAAAGTACTTAAGTGCCAAGCCCAAGTCCCAAGCCTTAATACACAAGTCAGCAGTCTATAAAGGGAGGGAGAGAGAGATTTTAACTTCAACTCCAAACTATGGGGAAAGAAAAATCCTCCTTGTAGATCAGTGGAGATATTTTTTAGGAACTCCTAGATGCTGGTAAATGATCACAGACAGGTGAATCTAGATATACTCTAATAGAGCCACACATGACTGTCTTTAAAGAAGAAAAAACAACCTCCTAAGATTATCAACACCAATGCCAGCTGCTGGCTTTTCCTTAGTTTGTCTTCTACTTAAGATCTAAACCATTTGATAATATCATGGCCCAGGAAAACCACAGCCAATAATGGTTTCTGTCTAGGAGACTATTAGCTCTTCACAGGTCTTTTGCTTCAGAATTGGGAACAAAAACTATAGAAAGAGCCACAAATAAAGTGAGAAGGCCAAAGCTCTCTCTAGGAAAACTGCAGTAGAAGCACACATTAGGATGCCTTGCGGTGTGGGAAAGACAAATCCTGCACCGCCTGCCTCCTGCATATAAGGCATGAGTCCCATTTCAATACACTTGACAGGATTCTAGGAAATGGAAGGGACAACACAAAACAGGCTTCTTTCACTTTATCCCCACACTTTCCACACAGTGAAATCTAAAGAGGCTACAGAACTCACCTCGGGCTTCTTGTAGTTTCTTGAGTTCAGCTTCCCTTTGGGATTTACTTTGCTTACTTCGAACCCCAAGGGCACTGATAACTAACCTTCGGGCTAGGGCTGCTGAAGTCTCAGGACGATCCTTTGCTGGCTGGAGGAATTCTGAATGGGAGAAACGGAGTGAGGAGCCGAAAGCACTCTGGCTCCACAAGATTTAACTCAGTAATGAACATACAACAGAGACAAACAGGGCTGCAGCAGCAGTAATTAATACAGGCCTAGCTTCATTATCTGCATTTAGTTCTTCTGTGAGACTCTCACACAGCTCACTACAGCCCACTTTGTTGTTGTTAAGTGCCGGTGAGTCAGCCCAACTCATAGCAACCCTGTATAGTGTTTTCAAGGAGCAGCTGGCAAGTTTGAACCACCGATCTTGCGGTTCACACCGACCTTGCAGTCGAGTGCTTATCCTACAGCATCACACCAGGACTACTTGTCCACTTAGAACTCATCAAAGATCAAAAGAAGGGAGGTAGAAATGCCATCATAAACTAGTTGTTGCAGTGCTTACAGTTAATATCTCCCATCTTCTAACATGGCTTCATTTTTCTTTAATAATAAAGCTAAACCTGATTATGTCCACAGAACTCTGAATGCTGTACAACTGCTGGACAAATAACAGTATCACCATCAAAAAGGAAAACCCCCCGAGATTCCAGGCTCACCGGCATAAGCTCTGGCTTTGGCCTTGGCTGCTCTTGTGGCCTTTGACAAGGGCCGGACCTTCACCATGGTATGTTTATTACCCAGAGCATCACGAGCTGCAAAGAGGAATGAACATAATAAAGTAGCAGACATGACATGTGAGGGTGTGGGGCAAAGGAAAATGAAGGACTATCTCTTAGAAAGTACTTATTAAAAGTTATGGACTCTTTGTTTTCATGACAAAACAAATGGTACACTACAGAAAATCCACTAAGGGGCAACTTGGCAGTGAATATATTTTAGATCAGAGGTCAGCAAAAGCATGGTTCTCAGACCAAATCCTGCCAGTCACCTGTATTTGTAAATCAAGTTTTATTGAAACAAAAGTCATGTTTTGCATACTGTCTATGGCTACTTTCTTACTGACAGAGACCTGGTAAATCCACAAAGCCTAAAATACTTACTATCTGGCCTTTACAGAAAAAGTCTGCAGACTTCTATTCCAGCTGCTTCAGACAGGAACAGCATCGCTAATTATGTGGAAGTTTCTGAGTCCGCTCCATCAGGAGGCCACTGATCTATGGGAAGACTCCCAACCACACACTCAGAGAGGAGCTATCACATCTCTTACTGGACAGGTGAAAGGGCTATTTCAAATTCACTTATAAATCACAAATATTGTAAGATTTAGCCCTACTGGCTTTTTAAACTTCTCTTATTTCTTTATGCAGTATAAAGACCAACAGCTATAAAAGCACACAACCTTGAAAGGAATTGACTCTCCAAATACCACTGGATTAAGTGGGTACTAAAGCAGTACCATACCTCCCAAAAAATGGTAGTTGCCCAATCACCAACACTGGCTGAATAAGATGCCAATAGACAGGAAACAGGACATGTAGCAGGAAAACAATGGATACTTAGAGAGGACACCAAAATCCATTGGGTGAATACCTGTAATTGGACTGGAGAATACTCCTAGAGCATGTGTATCATCCACCCATTTAATATCAAATCCTTTCTTTCTGCAATAAAAAAAAATATTTTTAAAAATAATAAGCACCTATATGAAAGAGCTTTCCAATAGAGCTCATAAAGCATTTCACTATGAAACAGAATCACACAAAGAGTGCCCAGGTGGAATGGGGATAATGACACAAAAACAGCTTGGAGGACAGAAGAAGCCACTGAATTTTAAAAGCCATAATACCATCATAAAGAACTACCAGGGAGTAGTTTACATTCCCAGCCATTTTATAGACATCAACTAATTAATCCTCACAAGTCCCTTGGGGAGGTAAAGTATTTAATGCACTATTTACAAGAGATATTCTTATGGTCAGAGAACAAGAAGAGGTGTAACGAGGAAGCAGAAGAGGGGGGTAGAGGAATATTCGAGGAGGAGGCAAGCAGGGAAGGTCACTACGATATAATGCAAATGCAGGCTCAAGGGAAGAGAGAGAAATATCATATAGCAAGATGTCAAAGCAAAAAGAAAAAGACAAGTATAATCAAAGAGGCTGGTCTGTTCTCGGAAACCAGAAAAGAACTGTGACAAAGTCAACAAACTTCAGGAGAAAAGAAATCAGGAGAGATAAACATCAGACAAGATTAGAAAGAATCAAAACAACGAACATTTAAGTACTAAAAAGAACTGTTTATTTACAAGGTCGATTTCAACTGCAAGGTTGGCAGTTCAAGCTCACCAAGCCACTTCTCAGAAACCCTATACAGGGATCGCTATGAGTCAGAACCGACTTAACAGTACTTAACAACATGTAGTGAGCAAAGAGAATATCAGAATGAAGACATGAGTGTTATTTCTCCAGCTAGGAGTTTAAAACTGCTCATGTACACAACATTGCTCAGTGAAAGAAACAAGTGTTTGAGGGAATGATCTCAAGTCCCAGTTTTGCCACCCTGAAACCCTGTTGTTGTCGTTAGATGTCGTCAAGTCGGTTCCAACTCATAGCAACCCTGTATAGTGTTTGAACTGCTAACCTTGTTAGCAGTCCTGTGCTGATCCTACAGTACCACAGGCAGCTTTAATTGATCTGGGCTTCCATCTGCTCATTTGCAGAACTGAGCATAATATCTATCTCATGTAGCTATTGTAAAAAGGGAAATAAGATCATCCATGACAAAGCAAAGAAGGCAGTGTTGAGCACTTAGTGAGAATTTAATAAGTAAACGATGCCCATTGTTATTATGTATAGCAATATTCACCAGGACAATCACTGGCACTGATGAAGATATAGTGCCAGTGACTATATCAAGTAGACTCTGGTGTTTGACTCACAAATTTTAGGCTTTTGTATCATGACTTTTTTTTTTTTTTTTAAACAAATCACTGAAAAAGATGGAAAAAAAGAAAACTGCTAAAATTATCTTCCCTATTTTACCATCAGTCAAGAAAAAAATTCCACTGAGGGAAAAATGAATCAAGGAGGTACCACACATCAGTTAGAAATTTTCCTGAATATAAAAGCTAAGTTGATCATAGTATAAAATGATTATAGGAGTTGAGGACCTTGAAAAACTCAGTAACAGAAAAAACTCACTTAAACAACAATCAGACCCATATGCCATTTTTTCTAATCAGTCCCCACTTAACGATTTCTATTAATCCACAGAATACTGATAGCTCTAATCTCATCTGATAAGGAGCTCTCTATACTGTAACTAGTAATAAGCTCTAAGAAAAAATAACACAAACTCAACAAGTCACAATAACATCTTTTTTTCACACTCTTGGGAGGGAAGAACTATTTTCCATCACTAACATCAGATTTTCAAATATGTGTAGCCTACCTCTCTCCACCACACACTATCAGGATAGACTCAAACAATGAGCAAGGCCAGCTATCCAACAACATAGAGCAGCCCATGAAGAAAAAAGTATGTAAAAGAATAGGCCCTTGAAGATTGGAAAGTATATTCCACATCAATCCATTTAACTGGGAGTGCCTTTCCATGACATAAAAAGACTCAGGCATACATACTGCCCTCAGTGAGTATATATCAACAGGAAGATACCAAAACATATCACAAATTATAAAACTGACAAAAAGCAAACACTGACACAAAAAAGGTTAAAATAAAGTGACATCAGGGCAGTCTCCTTAAGAAAAAAAAACTGGAGTGGGGGGACATGAAGAATTAAGATATGATAAAATGACAAGGCGAGATGAGAAACGACCAGAAGGAAGGCTGGACTAAAGGGGCAGAGAAAGAGTGGGTCATACACAAATAGGGAAGTACAAATAGTACAGCAGAAATTTTGGATAGGCTAAGATTAGCCAACAACAAGACCAGGGTAGGTTAAGGAGTGTAGACCATTCCCTAGGCAGAGTTGTGGAGCAGAAGTGTGACATGACAGCAGATCTGCTTCCGGAAGATGACCTACAAGCTGTATTTAAGATGCCCTGGAAGTGGGGAGCCAGAAACAAGTCTAAGAGAAATAACAAATACCTGAATTAGTGCAGCAGCAGTAAGGAGAGGAGGGACAAAGATACATTTACAGAGCAGAAACAATAGGAATAGAGAACGAAGCAAATAAAGAAAAGGAAAGTACTGAGGTTTGAAATTAGAGTTAAGTAAAAAGATGGTGCTGCTGATCACAGCACAGGGTACATAAGAGCAAAGGCAAATGTAGTGAAGTTAGATTATGAGTTTAGTATTTGACATTTCTGGTAACATGGTGGTTTAAGAATCAGGACCAAATTTATGCAAGCAATAAAAAAGAAAACAAGTAATAAAACACATAAAAAAGGGAAATTTTTAAACACAGTGGACAGATTTAAGAGCAGAATTTGTTGTTGTTAAGTGTCACCAAACCAGTTCTGACTCATAGTGAGGGTTACTATGTACAGGGTTTCCAAAGAGCTGCTGGTATATTTGAACTTCCAACCTTGCGGTTTTTAAACTGACCTTGAGGTCAAGTGCTAATCTTATGGCGCCACATCCGGACTCCAAGAATAGAATAGGTATGTTGTTGTTGTTATGTGCCGTGGAGTCGGTTCCGACTCATAGCGACCCTGTACAGGGTTTCCAAGGCTGTTAATCTTTATGGGAGCAGAAAGCCTCATCTTTCTCCCACTGAAAAGCTGGTAGTTTCGAACTGCTGACCTTGCGGGCCACAGCCCTATTCGTAACCACTACACTACCAGAGGCATAAGCATAGCTTTAAAAAAATCAGAAAAATGAAAGCTACAGCTAAAGGAATGATTTAGACCACAGCAAAGAGAGGAACAGAGATGGAAAATATGAGCACAAATAGATGAGGAAGACTCAGGAGGTCTAATATATATCTAACTGGCATTTCAGAGAAGGTGGAAAAGAGAGAGAAATTAGGACAGAAGCAATATTTGAAAAGACAGTGTCTGAATTTTCCAGACTCAGTGAAAAACACTAACCTATGATTTAGGGCACCCAAACAGTCTTACGCAGAAATAAAAAGATCTCCATGAAGCTCACATCACAGTGAATATGCAAAATATTAAAGGTAAAATTTTCAAGAGCATGCAAAAATGAAAGATTATATTCAGAAGTGGCAGTGGATAATCTCTCAGCTGACTTCATCATCCACAGAGAAAGCTGAAAGCCAGAATGCAGTAGAATATCTTAAAGGTTAAGGGGAGAGCAGGAAGTGCTGCTAACCTAGAATTCCATACCTAGCAAAAAGGCCTTAAGAATAAAAATAAAATAATGTAAAAATGAAAGGTACTTAGTAAAGTAAATGCTAAAGAATATGGCCTATGCAAGAGTTAAAAGATCTCAGATGGAAAGTTTGAGATATAAAAAAAATAAGTGAAGAGAACAGAGAAGTGGCAAACTGAATATTGAATACATGTACTACAGCAAATGAATTTTAAAAGAGAAAAAGAAAAATATTCAATAGCAAGTAAGTTACAGGAGGGCCCAGAGGGAATGGAAAAGCCTTTCCTGGTATGGCGCTGTAGGATAAGCACTGAATAGCTAACATCAAGGTTAGCAGTTCAAACCCACAAGCTGCTCCTTGGAAACTCTATACAGTACCACCGTAATTTGGAGGCAACTTAACAATAACATACTGTTTGAAAGGAGAATAAAAATACTCGCTTCAGCCATTAACAACTTATGTATGCATTTTATAATTTCTAAAGTTACTAACAGAAACACTATAATTTCCCAAAAAAAATTAAATGAGAAAAAAAATCTATAGATTCAAAAGCTAAATATATAAACTATAATATTTTAATTTATACTTAGTTTTATATATATTTGTTTATATAATTAGTATATATAAATACAACATATTAATTATATTAGTTTATATATAAACTAATTATATAAATATAACTACAATAAATATAAATGGAGTTCTGGTGTAGTACTATAGGATAAGCATGGACCACAAGGTCGATTTGAACTGAAAGGTTGGCAGTTCAAATTCACCAGTCACTCCCTGGAAACAAGGTCACTATGAGTCAGCACTGACTCGAGGGCACATAACAATAACAAATGCCCCATGAAAACAGACTCAGGAATCATCATTAATGATGTTCTTCTTAAATGCTAAGGTGAGATTTATAAAGACTATTCGGCATATTTGGAGTCCTGGTGTGGCACTGTGGGTTAATGTGCTGGACCGCAAAGTCAGTTTGAACTACAAGGTCGGAGGTTCAAAATCACCAGACACTCCTCATAAACCCTATACAGGGTCCACACAGGTTAGAACCAATTCAACGGCACTGAGCAACAACAACATTTGGCATATTTAGGGAACTTACAAGAATAGTGATTTGATACAGGTTCCTATTGGACTTGGAGGAGACAAACCTGATGCCAGAGTAAACAAGGAATATGAAAAAAAAAAAAAAAAGTAACAGATGCGTTTTTAAAACACAATATAAGAAAACTTATCCCACTGTCCCTAACATCCCCAACCATTTGCAAATACTTACTGATAACTGTAGAAAACCCGTAGAAGGTCTTCAGTACGAAATTCTTGGGGGAAGTCATAAATTTCAATGACATGTGGGAATTCACAATCACTGAGGTCTATATCAGGAACTTCATGGTTGTAATAATCAAATCTAGGTTCCTGGATGCTTTCTCTGCTCTTCACATTTCCTGGTAACTAGAGAGGAGGAAGCAAATAGGTGACTGTTATATCAAGCTAAGGCATGATAAAGTTCCTCCCGTTTGTGAACAATCTTCCTCCCTGTCTCCATGGACAACATAATTCCTTAACCTTTAGCACTGTCCCTGTGTTAAAGTTATTTGTGAACACAACAATGATCAGGGGTTTATCCATCTAGCTTACATTACACATACGGACTACTCAAAAAGGTGTTGAAACATTCCAACAGGTTAATGCATAAAACCTAACTTGGATTTATCAACTAGTGTGTGAGAAAATGTAGACTGATTAATGTTGTGAGATACAAATGAAACTCAGACAACAGCTGAAGAGAGTAAATTAATAGTGTTCGTTTCATTTGCGCTACTGATAAGGCTCATCTCACAGTTTCTTTTTGCAACTGAACAAATTTTTTTTTTTAATTTTAAATAAAGAAAACTGTGTTAATCTTCCTTTTGTTGAATGTATTAAAGGGTGAAGAGGGACGGAGACCAGCGCTTCCGGGACCGGGCAGCTCAGGTAGGGCTCCGGGGAAAAGGGGCGGAATTGCACACAGGAAACCTCTGTCCTAGCAGACAGACAGCCTTTAAACAAGCATAAGATCTTATATTTCAACATTCTGAACTCATTTTTTTTAAAAGAGCTCTCCGCTCTTCTCCCTTGACGGTCCCAGGGACCTTCACTCCTAGACTGCAAAGTTAATCACTCCCCTCCTTGCTACAAAACATCTACCTTTACATTTACAACCCTCACAATCAGTCCTGATAACAATTGTTCACTATTGTATCACAAGAGACCTATCCGCATTTCCTTTTATCAGCCCCGCCTAGACAGATTGGATACTACTCAGTGGAGATTCTACCTTACTCCACGCCCTCTGGATCTAGGCTCCCTCTTGAAAACTTGTAAGCTAGTCACTTCTTGCCTTTGTAGCCCCCTCTCCCCCATTTTGGGTAGCTAATGTCCAAGTTGTCCATCCCTGTCTACTCTGTGTATGGAAGGGGTGGGAATGATCCTTGCTGTAAAAATTTGTTCTGATGTCACATTCTTCATATAATCCAGCTTCTCTGATTATGTTTAGTATACAGATTGATTATACACAGTGAAAGGATACAATAAGGGCACACATCTTTCCTTATTTTAAACGACTCAATGTCCCCTTGTTCTGTTTGAATGACTGCTTCTTGTTCTTGGTCTGTGTACAGGTTCCTTATGAGTACAATTATGTGTTCTTGAATACCCATTCTCTGAAATGTGATAGTCTGTCACAGCCTACACAGTCAAAAGCCTTTGCATAGTCAATTAAGCACAAGTAAACATCTTTCTGGTATTCTCTGCTTTCAGTCATACTCTATCTGACATTGTCAATGATATCCCTAGCTCCATGTTATATCCTCTTCTGAGCCTGGCTTGAAATTCTGGAATTTTCCTATTGATGTACTGTTACAGTCATTTTTAAATTATCTTCAGTAAAATTTTACTTGCATCTGATATTAGTGATATTTTTCAATCATTTCCACATTCCATTGGGCACAAATATGGATCTCTTCCAATTGATTAGATAGGTGGTTGTCTTCCAAATTTCTTCATCCTTCAGTACCATCAGGTCTTGATCATATGCTACCTCTTGAAATGGCTGAACATTGATCAATTCTTTTTGGTACAGCAACTCTATGTATTCCTTCCATCTTTGATTCTTTCTGCATCATTCCATATTTTGCCCATAAGAATCCTTCAATATTGCACACCGAGGCTTTTATTTTTTTACTCAGTTTTTTAAGCTTGAGAAATGGTGAACGTGTTCTTACCTTTTAGTTTTCTAACTTCAGGTCTTTGAACATTTCATAATTATTGACGTTGTCTTCTTGACTGCCCTTTGAAATTTTCTGTTCAGCTCTTTTATCTCATTTCTTCTATTTGCTATAGCTTCTCTATACTCAAGACCAAGTTTCAGAATCTCTCTCTTTTTTTTTAAGTTTTTATTGTGAATTACCTGGTAAGTTTATACATGGGAGAACATTAGCTTTATATTCATCCTATCATATTTTGTTTCATTGCAATGATTACAATAATCCCCCCCATGCATCATCTAACAACCACCCCACAAGCCTGGCCCCCGGCCGTCAGCACACAGACCCTCTCCCTCCGAGTCCAGAGTCCCCAACCGCTCCATCTCTCCAGGTCATCGTCTCTGCCTCTCAAGAATTTCTTCTGACATCCATTTTGTCTTCTCTCTTTTTCTTGTATTTTTTAATGACTTATATTTTCTTTCAGTATTATGTTCTTGATGTTATCCCCACAATTCTTTGGTCTTAGGATGTTGTTGTTGTTGTTTTGTGCCGTGGAGTCGGTTCTGACTCATAGCGACCCTATACACGGTTTCCGAGGCTGGAAACCTTTACGGGAGCAGAACGCTTCATCTTTCTCCCGCGGAATAGTTGGTAGTTTCGAACTGCTGACCTTGTGGCTCGCAGCCCGATTCGTAACCACTACACTACCAGAGCTCCTTAGGATATTAGTGTTTAATGACATTTCACTTAATAATAAAAAAAACTTGTGCAGTTCCATGTCTCAAGATTTTATCTAAGGATAAAATTCTAGTTCCTAGTCATTACCGTTCAAGGGCTGAGGGACCTATAACATAACCCTGGTTAAGATCTTCAAAGGTGGGAATGAGAACATTTTTGTGATTACTTTTAATTAGTTCAAGCTACAATTATGGCTCTAACAAATTTAAATATGGAAGGCATAAGGAGGGTTATCATAGGGACAAAGAGATGAGAGACTTCACCACAAGTTGGTAGAATAAAACTACTGCAGTTGTTTCAAGAGTCGTCTTGTTTATTTACACAGAATTAATCCATATAGTCAATTCTCAATTATGTGGTTAGGATAGTCAAGCCCTTTGTTTTAACTTCCTCTTCTACTGTTATCTTGTGGTTACTTAACTACTCATTAACTCATTTTCTATTACAGAAAATCCATTTAAATTTTTATGATTTACAATAAACTTTGATAAAAGATTTGATCAGAGAATAGGCATGAACTATTAAAAGAAAAAACAAAACAAAAAAAAAGAGGTTTTGAATTATCTGGGTTTGATTCTAAGGATTCCAGAATCACAGGAAATTGAGAGCCATAGCCAAATTCTTTTCATTCTGGTCTACAACAATATTGCAAATAAATCAATAGCTGGAGTTAAAATGTTTTACCCATGTAGCGTCCCATCTTTGGCAGACTATGAAGTAACACAACTGATTTCAAAAAAAAGTATTTCAAGTCTTTTCATATTTCTCATGGCCCAAGTTCAAAAACATCCACAAAAGGAGTTCCCAGTAAGATAATGACATGGCATTGTGTAATGTGTAACATAGGTTACAGGTCCAGCCTCCTTCTATATACTGCTTGAGCACAAGCCCTTTTCAATAGAAGAAGATGATTTCAGAGTAGAGAATGTCTTCAACAGTAGTCTCTATCTGCAAATAAAATGATCTAATATAGCCAAGCTATACTTTCTCATCAAGAAATCACTGTGAATGAAATACGTGAATGTAAAGCTGATGTTCTCCCATGTAAACTATCACCCAATTTACAATAAAAGGTTTAAAAAAAAGAAAAAGAAAAGAAACCACTGTGAGACCTATAAACTATGACTTCATAAAACTTACAAAATGGGTGAAATGCCATGTAAAGGTGCCATGTGGGGATTTCTCTAGAATAGGCATCAGCAACACTATATCTCTGATTATTCACAAGTTGGTAGAGTGTAAGAAGGTCATGCCTACTGTGCTGGATTAAGGCATAAGCAGAAAAGGAGGAAAGTGAGCAAAAAAGAAAAGGAGAAGGGTACAAGAAAACAAGAAAAAAAAAAGACAGTTATATAATGCTAGCAGGGTGTGTCTTCAACTATTGTTTTAGATGGTCAGTTATTGATCATAGAGCTAGAAGATAAACTTCATAGCTCTAGTCTTCTCCCTGATGTCCCAGTGTGGCACTGAAGGATAATCACAGGACTGCTCACCACAAGTCTGGCAGTTCAAACCCCAGCCATTCTTCAGAAAACCTACACAGGGTCGTTATGAGTTGGAACCAACTGGAAGTCACTTAACACCACCAAGTCCTCTCTCTCAACAATGGCTACAACAGAACAATGATTATGAGCATGGTGCAGAACCAGGCAGCACTTCATTCTAATGCATATAGGATTGCTATAAGTCAGAACCAACTGGATGGCACCTAAGCACAACAATAATCCTCTCCCAAGAATGGCGATCTACGGCACATGAATACATGGAAGTGGCCATGTGAAATCTAGCTCCTCCTCAAACAGTAGTCAGGAGGAAGAAGAAAAAGGCAGCAACACATATCCATATTTCCTTTTCCTAGCATGACTGGAAAGACGGGATGAGAATACCTTGGCCTAGTAGAAAGGTAAAGCTAGGTATGAGCCTAGACCAGTGAGATCACGCCAAACAGGAGAATACTAAAGGTTTTAACCTTCTTGAGCTGTCCTGAGAGCTTAACTCAGATGCTGCTAGGATAGTCAGGGAAAACAGCTGACCATGAAACCTGAGAAAAATCGCAAAGCAGACCAAACTGACAATTATTGCCATTCCATTTATTGATTTCTCTAGTCCCTGATCCACCTTTTCCTTACGCCATCTTTGGTGATGTAAGGTGCTGTTGTCGAGTCAATTTTGACTCATAGCGACCCCACCTGACAAAGTAGAACTGCCCCCCACCCCGGGTTTTCTTAGCTGTAATCTTTACGGAAGCAGAGCATCAGGTCTTTCTCCCACAGTCCCTAACTTTTCAGTTAGCAGCTGAGCGCTTTACCATCTGTGCCACCAGAATTTCTTTAGCTACCTAAAATCCTATACTACACCCAGTCCTAGTCTCTCATATAAAAATGTCTTGTTCATTATTTTAGAGAGTATTAATTCTTGCCTATCTGTCCCTCTCAGCAGCAGGCAAGAAATATATACTTCTGACCTTCA